CTAACAACTAGGAACATCTAAGTAATTTAAAATAATCAGATACTGAGTTGATGTACCTTCAGATAAGAAACAAAGCTTCACCAACACAAGAACACAACTGGGTGAATAAATATGTCATTTTTAATCAGACATGTGTGACAAACTCTTCATTAGTATGGCAAATGTAAAGTGGGGAAAACACTGCAAAATTAGACCCTAATTTACAACGCAACTAAAATTAAATTATATACGGATTAACAGTTTAAAAATGCAAGGGACTCATAATACCACTAAAAGACAGCAAGATATGCTTTAGTACCTGGTACTAAAGAAGATAACGAGATGAAAAACTACGGGGAGTGGAAGTGGGGAACGTCTACAAGGACCATAGGGATCATTTTAAATTTGAGAAGAACTAGACACACTGTAAGCAAAATTAATAGACAAGCTGTAAAATCTCGATACTGTAGCATAAATGACAAGTAATTCATACCATCATCTGGAGGAGCACTTGCAAGCAACAGAAAGACCCAGCAGGCAAAGAAAATGACCAGTAAATACTTGAAAAGATGCCCAACTATACTACCAAAGAAATGCTAATTAAGTCACTTGGTTTTTCCATTGGGTTTTAAAATGCAAACCCGCAGCCTCTCGAGGGCTGGGTGACGCCGCGGGGCAGCGGGGACCATACCTTCGAGCGCGCGCCGCACCTTCTCCTTCCTCTCGTAGGCGGCGCGCTGCGCCTCCTCGCGGGCCTTGCGGTAGAGGTACTCGCGGCGAAGGCGCGCCTCACGGCGCAACTAGGGAACAGCGTGTCGGGTGAGCGCCTCTTTCTCCATGCACGCTCGGCCCCGGGGGACCACCCATCCCCAGCCCTCCGCGAACCCCCAACCTTCAAAACAGAAGCTCAAACATCCCTACCATCCTGGGCGCCGCTTCCACGTGGGTTTCGGAGAATCTGCGAGAGCTGCCGGCACTACGCAGCCCTCGCTTCCGCCCTCAACCAAGAAAGTGGTAGGTTCACTAAACGCTGCTGATGGGAGTCACAAGGCGATTGGCCAGCCCAGAAGCGCATGCTCACTGGAGCTACCAATAGGCAGAGGAAATGTCAAGATGTTGTTAGGCGGCCTGGGGCTGCCATTAATAAAGATGTCTTCGTTGGCTTCACCATTTGTCGCGGCTGTGCAGAATGCCCAAATTGAAGATGATGTACCGCTAGTTATTATGCCATTGGCGGCTTGAAATAGTGCAGCAGCTGTAAAGCCAGCACAACGGTAGGCCGCAGGATCGCTTAACAGCTCCTTTTGGAATTAAATCTAAAGCCGTTTCTCCCTTAAAATGGTTGCTACGCCTCCTTCCTTCGCCACAGCGATAGCTCTACTTTTAAAATGCAGCTGCTTCCAGAAGCGACTCGGAACCCCACAGCTCTCGCCAACTTTCCGGTTGGCTGATTCGCTTCGGATGCTAAGCGCAGAAAGCGACTACTCGGTTGCAATGCTGCTGCTCTGACGACGCTTGCCCTTAGAAGCCGAGACTCCCACGGCTTTCAACCCCACGGCTTCCACTACGTGATCGCTGGGCCCACAGCGACGGCGGATCTCGAACGTCCATTGGCTACACTACCGGCACGGTGAGCGGTGATTGGGCGACCTGGAAGGAGACTGGCTCCAGATTAGAGTGCGGTGGGCCATGGCCGCAGCCGATTTACGGGCGGAGCTGGACTCGCTGCTGCTGCAGCTGCTCTGGGACCTGGAAGAGCTGGAGTCAAAGCGGGTGGCGCTGAACGCCCGGGTGGAGGAGGTGGGAGCCTGGGGGGCGGGCGGACGGAGGGTCACGCCGAGGTAAACTGAGTTTTACTGATCCTCTCTCATTCCGCAGGGCTGGCTTTCGCTCTCCAAAGCTCGCTATGCCATGGGCGCCAAGTCGGTAGGGCCCCTGCAATATGCCTCCCGCATGGAGCCCCAGGTCTGCGTCAGCACCAAGTGAGGAGCCTTGCCTGCTGAATCGGGTGGGTGGGGAATGCGCAGGGTGGGGCTGTCAAAGATCCATCCTCCCTTCTCTTTCTTCAGCGAGGCACAAAATGGACTCCAGAAGTTTCGTGTGGTAAGAGCTGGCGCCCAGAGTCCAGAGGAGGTGGGGCCCCGTGAGGCAGGTGAGCCCCCCTTCCCGTCAGGGACCCCTCCCGATGTCAAAGACAAAATACAATTAAGGAGATGATTTTATTCAAGTTGCTTTGATAGAGCGCCCCAGATTTGAAGATCAAAATGTCTCAGCAGAGTGGTTTTGGCCTTAGACTTTTATAGGGAGAAATAGGTGAAGTCTTTTACAGTTGGGATTGTTTTGTAGTTACAGGAAGTCTCAGTCAGTTGGAAAGAAAATGTTTATCTCTTTCAGAAGGACAAACTTTCAATCTCAGCTAGTCATTCATAAAGAACAGGGAGTTGGAGAGTCTGTCTGACCTTTCAGCATGTTCAGGCAAAATGGGAAAGGTCAGTTGTGAAAGCCGCAACCTGCACGGCTAGGGTTCAGGATCTGGAGAAGGGCCACGCACAAATGAGGAGACTAGACAAGAAATACGAATTTGGAAATCATGGGGGTCAGGCGGAGAACCGCTCTCTAGTGGAAAGGCTTCACTGGGGCCCAGGCCCTGTTAGATTTTATTTAATTTTAGAACACACATCTTGCCCTTAGTCAGGCAGGCAATCTGGTAGCAGACAGACTATCTTAAAGGTCAGTAAATAGTAAAGATTTACTTTGAGACTATTACATCAGGAAATTGCTTGAGCCAGCATTGTCTCAACAGAACAATTGGTGCATAGCTTTTAGCCCTTGCCAAAGCTCAAGATCCATCAGCCTTCTGGGTTCCCTGTTTACACTTTCATGATAGTGTAGACCAGCAGTTCTCAACCTGTGGGTCGCGACCCCTTTGGGGGTCGAACGCCCTTTCACAAGGGTCGCCTAAGACCATCGGAAAACATATATAATTACATATTGTTTTTGTGATTAATCACTATGCTTTTATTATGTTCAATTTGTAACAATGAAATTGGGGGTCACCACAACATGAGGAACTGTATTAAAGGGTCACGGCATTAGGAAGGTTGAGAACCACTGGTGTAGACAATGGATAGCTTCCAGCAGTCAGTGTATGACTTTGTCTAAACAAGGGTTGGTTTTATGAGAGTCTTGAGAATGTATGGACAGTCTCACATTTGAATCACAAGTGGGGAACGGTGGTTTTTTTGTGGTAAGCTGTTTTTTGGATCTTAAAAGGTTGCAGAGATTTTGCAACCATCAGTATTTCCCAGGATCATGAGCTCAGAGTTCAACATTGTCACCCAGAAGTTAAGGGCCAGGTAATAAGATTCCAACTTCTACCCTTTCTTCCTCCAGCTCTGCGAAGGCGCAAGGCCCTTACCAGGATTCCAGAGCCCGAGGCCTTCTCAGCCTCCCCAAACCCTCTGAACTGGTTTGGAATCCTGGTTCCACATAGCCTACGGCAAGCCCAAGCCAGCTTCCAGGAGGGTGAGTGGACTCTGCCAGTTGACCGTGTGGCTCTAAGCCAAAATTGGACCCTCTAATGCCAGGGCTGGGATTAGTCTACAAAGGGTTTTGCAGGTTTTCTCCATTGCATACTTTTGTTGCATGCCTGCTGTTTTTTCTGAAAGCATTTACAGCATCTTGGCAGTGTTCTAGGCTCATGATCAGTGCTGGGATACAGCAGGAAATGAAAGGGACACATATCCTCATAGAATGTTATACTATTGAGGGGAGAAAGACAACCTGCAAATAAGTAAGTAATGAGAATTGTTATGCAAAAATAAGATAGGGTGTTGTAGATGAAGTGGGACAGGAATGGTCTGGGGGAACTGTTTTATGAAGGTGATCTGGGGGAACAGTGTTCTAAGCAGAGGGGCCAACTGGGGTGAAAAGGCAAGATTGTGTGGGCTATTGCAGAGAAGAGGCCAGTGGACTAGAGTTGGTGTAGCAGAGAGAGCCAGGAGCTGTGGTTAGAGGGCTCTAGGCCCCGATAATTTGAGGGCTGAATAGGCCCTGTTGAAGACTTTGGGAGTAATGGGGTAGACTTGCAGCCTGACAGGAATCCAGTGGATTCTGCGTGGGAACAGATGAGCAGAGGTATTAAGTAGCCACCAGGGAGCAGCCAGGCTTAAGATGCAGGTAGAGGTTGGTACATACTAGATCTCAAGGTCTCCCTTTTACTTTTTTATGGCTTTCCCAGAATTTATGAGAATCATCTGGCAATTTTATCTTGACAAGTCCCGAGACTACTGACTTTCTCTGTCTTTTGAGAAAAACTCCCCCTACTCTCCTCCTCCAAATGACTGACTTCTTTGTTTGGTGGGCAAGATAAACTCCCCCTTCTCTCCCCTTCCCTTCCCCCTCCTTTTCTGCATTCTTTGGTTAGGAAGGAGAGGTATTAACCATCTGTTCTCAAGTGTCCTTGGCTGGGAAAGATAAGATCTTGCTGCAGACTAGCTGCAAGTTGCCCAAGCTGTTTGGCCTTGTTTAATTTTCTTGTCTCAGTTTCCTCCTGCACTGGAATCTTCTTAGCTTCTTAATATTCTTCTATAGAACCCCCCAGGATTTGCTGACAAATCAATTTGGGAATAAGGGAAGGATAGGAGTGAAGGATGAGCCCACTGGCTAGCCAGGAATCCTGGGAGAATGGAGCTGCCCTCACCAGGTGTGGGAGGAATGCAAAGCAGCAGCTGAAAGGGTATGGTTGTGTTCCTAGTGGTGGAGATTCTGTGGGCAGTTGCACACATGCATCTGGAGTTTGGAAGAGGCTTCAGCTGGAGAGAGATTCCAGAGGCCACCACATAACTCTGGCATTTAAATTCCTAAGTTTCTGACACATGTAGCATTAAAGCTAAGATGGAGTAAAATCAGCAGGTGGACAGGAAGTGAAGGAGAGGAAGGGGGGAACCATTAGAGGAGACTGAGAAGCAGTAGTGAAGCAGGAGTAACACCTAGAGGGTGAGGTGTCCCAGAAGCCAAAAGGAGAATGTGTTTCCTGGATGGAGTTGATCAGATGTGTGGCCAGCTCTGCTGCTGGATAGGTAGGCTGAAGACAGGACTGGCCAGTGCATTGGTTGGCATGGAGGCCCAGAGGATTTGGCAGCAGCTATTCCAGCAGAGGCATCAAGCAGAAGCCACCTAAAGGTGGATCCAGAGTGTGGAATACTGTTGGAGGCAGAGAAAACAGATGGAAGGAGTGAGGGTGAAAGCCGCGAGGGACTGTGGTAATGGAGAAAAGTAGGAAGAAAATAAGAGCATGAGACAGTGTGTGTAATGATCTGTGGATTATTAGTTCCTGGTGGGTGATAGAAGGGGGTCAAGAAAGTCTTTTGAGGAGGTGACATTTTAGCAAAGACCTGAAGAAGGTGAGGGTGTGGGTCCAGTGAGGTTTGGAGCAGCCATTGCAAGGGTGTACCTGGAATGTTTTAGGAATAATAGAGGCCTAGCGCCTTTCCAATCCCTGGGAATGTCCAGATTCCCTTAAGTCATGTGTCACACTACAGATACCATGGTGACAATTTCTCCCCTTCCTCTAGGCCTGCAGCTGGCTGTAGATATGGCCAGTCTCCAGATCCACATCAACTGGGGTCGAAGCCAGCTTCGAGGGCTCCAGGAGAAACTCAAGCAGCTTGAGCTTGGGGCTGCCTAACCTGTGGCCACAGAAGAAGACCATGAGTTCAGTTGTTCTTTGATGTGGTTGCTTTATTTCAGGCCTTCTTCCTTCACAGCTTGCTCGGCCCCTACCACTACCACCCCATCCCAGACAGCTAATCACCCCCACCTTAAAATTTTTCCAGTCTGCTGTTTCCAACTTTGTTATATGTGAAAGTTTAAAGAGGCAAACTGAGTAATGTTCAAAGTCACTACTATGAAACCACTTCCAGTCCTTGTTCTAGGACACACTCATATGGGGAGGGTCAAAGCTGTTAGGTTAGTTTATATTAGGGAGCAACAGAGCAATCTCATGCATAAATCACTGCAGGAGAAGTAGTGCATAGCTAGTGGCAGAAAGGACAAGAAGTAGGTGCTTCAGTTTCACTAGATCCTCAAAACTGATTTTGATGGAAAGAAAAAAAGATACATGGCTAGCAGATCAGGAGAATGGTTTCACGTCGATAACAAACACAATTACCTGCATACATGGGCAGCCCTTGGCAGGTTTTAAGCCAAAAAGTAAAAAAGATCTAACCTAGATTTTCAAATGAACTATAGGAAGAGACCTTTCAGGTTTTGAAACACCTGCCTTCTATCTTTTCAGTAGTGAGGCTGAACCTTTTGTAATTTGTTAAAAGGCCAATTGTATTTGCTATTCTGGGAACTCTGTCCTTATTTCATTTTCCTACTGGGTTGTGGATATTTTTCGCAGTTTTTAAAGAGCTAATTTTTATGCTTGGGGAAAATTGGTTCTTTGTTCACAATATGAGTGATTTTTTTTTAGTTTGTTTTTTAACTTTATGGTGGTTTTTTTAATGGTTTTTAAAAAAATAACTTTATTGTAAAATAAAACATATTACATTATAGAACCACACAGAATAATTGAAAAGCTTAATGAATAATTAAGGTGAAAGCTATAGTAACCATCACCCAACTTGTGTTTCTTAGCCTGTTTTGTTTTACATTTTATTTTTTCATCACCATTTATCCCCATATACCCTCTTCCAACCTCCTCTTCCCCACTGCAATCACCACACTGTTGACCCTGTCCATAAGTTCTCCTTTTTTTTTTTTTCTCAATCCCTTCATCCCCCACTTCAACCAGAGCTTCAATTTCACTAGTAGTGATCTAATCACATTCCCTGGTTCTTCCTGATTTAGTTTTGGAAGATTATATGTTTCTAGAAATCTATCCATTTCTTCCAGATTTCCAATTTGTTGGTATATTTCTTAGAATTCTTTGTATTTCTGTGGTGTCAGTTGTTACTTTCATTTCTGATTTTATTTGAATCCTCTCTATTTTTTTCTTGATGAGTCTTGTTAAGGGTTTGTCAATCTTGTTTCTTTTCAAAGAACTAGCTCTTGCTTTCATTGATCTTACTGCTATTTCATTTCTACTCTGATCTTTATTATTTTCTTCCTTCTACTCTGGGCTTTCTTTTTTTTTTTTTCAGATTCCTTTAAGTATAAAGTTAAATTGTTGCCGAAACCGGTTTGGCTCAGTGGATAGAGCGTCGGCCTGCGGACTGAAAGGTCCCAGGTTCGATTCCGGTCAAGGGCATGTACCTGGGTTGCGGGCACATCCCCAGTGAGAGATGTGCAGGAGGCAGCTGATCGATGTTTCTCTCTCATCGATGTTTCTAACTCTCTGTCTCTCTCCCTTCCTCTCTGTAAAAAATCAATAAAATATATTTTTTAAAAAAAATAATAAAGTTAAATTGTTAATTTGCGCTTTTTGTTGTTTCTTGAGGTCGGCCTGTAATGCTATGAATTTCTCTTTTAGGACTGTTTTCCCTGTGACCCACAGATTTTGGGTTGTTGTGTTCTCATTTCATTTGTTTCAAGGTATCTTTTGATTTCTTCCTTGATCTATTGTTAAGCCATTCATTGTTTAGTAATATGTAATTTAGTCTCCATATCTTTGTGGGTTTTTCAGTTTTCTTCTTGTGATTGATTTCAAGTTTCATGGCATTATGGTCAGAGAAGATTCTTGATATGATTTCAGTCATAATTTATTGAGACTTGTTTTATATCCTAACATATGGTCTATTCTAGAAAATGTACCATGGGCACTTAAAGGGAATGTATATACTGCTGTTTTGGAGTGAAATGCTCTGATGATATTGATTAAATCCATTTGGTGTGGTTTGTCACTTAAGACCACCGTCTCCTTGTTGATTTTTCTGTTTGGATGATCTTTCTATTGATGTCAATGGGGTGATAAAATCCCCTACTATAACTATATTACTGTCTTTCCTTTTATGTCCATCAAGATTTGCTTTACATATTTAGGTGCTCTTACTGTTCGTTACATAAATGTTTACAGGGATTATATCCTGTAGGTGGATTGCTCCCTTTATCATTATGTAGTGTCCTTCTTTGTCTATTATTATAGCCTTGGTTTTAAAGTCTATTTTCTTACATAGTATTGCTACCCAAGCTTTTTTTTCTTTTCCATTTGCATGAAATATCTATTTCCATCCCTTTACTTTTTGTCTGTATCTTTTGTTCTGAGGTGGACCTCATGAAGGCAACATATACATGAGTCATTTTCTTATCCATTCAGCTATCTTATGTCTTTTGATTGGAGCATTTAAGCCTTTACACTTAAAGTGATTATTGATAGGTATGTATTTATTGCCATTTTATTTTTTAAATTATGTTCCTGGTTTTGTTTTGTTTTTTTGTTTTTTTTTCTTGTTCTCCTTCGTTTCTCTTTTTAAAAAAAATATATTTTTATTGATTTCAAAGAGGAAGGGAGAAGGAGAGAGAGATAGAAATATCAGTGATGAGAGAGAATCACTGATTGGCTGCCTCCTATATGCCCTGACTGGGAATTGAACTGTGACCTGGTCCATAGGGCGACACTCAACTGCTGAGCCATGCTGGCTGGGCTTTTCCTTGCTTAGTCTTCTCCTTCCTCTTCTCCTTGGCTTTCTCCTTCTCTTTGTCCTTCTCCTCTTCCTCCTCTTTCTTCTTGTTCTTCAAGTCCTTTAACATTTTTTTAAAATACTGTTTTGTTAGTAAGAAAGTACTTTAGCTTAAGCCCTTTATTTCTCCTTTAATTTTAAATGATAACCTTGCTGGGTAAAGTAGTCTTGGTTCTAGGTCCTTGTTTTTTATCACTTTGAATATTTCACACCAATCCCTTCTGGCCTGAAATGTTTCTGTTGAGAAATCAGCTGACAGTTTTATGAGAGCTCCCTTATAGATTCCTTTCTCGTGGCTTTTAAGATTCTCTGTCTTTAACTTTTGCCATTTTATTTATGATGTAACTTGGTGTGGGCCTCTTTGGGTTCATCTTGTTTGGAACTCTGTGTTTCCTTGTATGTCTTTTTCCTTCACCAGGTTAGGAAAGTTTTCAGTCATTATTTCTTCAAATAGGTTCTCAATCCCTTGCTTTCTCTCTTTTCCTTCTGGTATCCCTATGACATGGATTTTGTTGCACTTCACGTTGTCACAAGGTCCCTTAAACTATACTCATTTTTAAAAATTATTTTTTCTTTTTGATGCTTTGAGTGGGTGTTTTTTGTTTACCAAATCGCTGATTTGATCCTCTACTTCATTGAGCACTCTGTTTATTCCTTCAGTGTATTCTTGATTTCAGATTTGACGTTCTTCATTTTTGACTGGTCCTTTGTCATGCTGTTGAGCATCCTTATAATGATTACTCTGAACTCTATTATTTGATAAATTGCTTACCTCCATTTCATTTAGCACTTCTTGTGGAGAATCCTCTTGTTCCTTCATTTGGGGCCTGTTTCTTTGTCTCTGCATTTTAGCTGCCTCTTTGTGTTTATTTCTATGTTTTAAGTAGATCTGTTATGGCTCCCTGTTTTGGGAGGGTGGCTTTATGTAGCCAGTGACCTGTGGGACCCAGTGGTGTAGTCTCCTTGATCACATAAGCTGGGTACTCTAAGAATGTCCCTTGTGCATGTTATGTGGGTCCTCCTGTTATAATTCAGTCTTGATTGCTGTTGGTCCATTTGTATGTGGGATCAACACTCAGGCTGGCTGGTAGTGAAGCTCAACCCCCAATACAGCATGAAAATTACTATGCAGGTGCTGATCATACGAAGTGGAATTTGCCTCAGGATGGTTTTGTGCCTGCTGAAATCTCCCTATGGATATACTGTTTGTGAAGCTTATTGGATCCTGCTCTGTTGTCTAGAACTGGTCACTGGGTGTAATAGTTCTGGGCCTCTTTGGTGGGGCCCTGGTGCAGGCCAATGTCAAATGCTGTCCGTGACTGCCTCTGGGCAACCTGTTTGGAGCTATCAGCGATCCACAGCTTGTGGCTCCCTCTACTGGGCCTGGGTGTGTATAGGAAGAACCAAGCTGTGCACCAAAGTCTGCTTCATACATATATATATATAGTAGGTCCTCGGGTTACATCGGAGATCCGTTTCTACGGTGCGACATAACGCGATTTTCGCCGTAAGTTGGAACCCACCTACATAAGCACCTACGTCACAGACATGGAGCACATACACAGCAGTAATGATGTGAAAGAGTAAAAAAAATTTAAAAGATAACAATTCCTGACCTTTACTTATGGTAAATAAATAATAAATCATGCAAGACTGAAGATACAATTATTGTCTTTAGAAAAGTCAGCCACTGGGTGTTTAAACAATGTTTCATTATTAAAGTTGTAAAGAAACCTGGGTTAAGCTTGGCAGGCAGCCTGGTGTAATAGTCTCTAAGAATAGTGGTACATAAAACCCTGAGTGTCCTTTTTAGTTGTCTCAATTGAAATGAACAAAGAAATGAGCAGCAGCAGTCAGTCTTGAGCAGATGTAAGGGTAACTGGAGGCATATGCAGAGGCACCGAGCCTGGCTATAGTGGGACTTTTATGAGGGGCTGCTAACTTGATCTTCCCGCTATGGCCTCCTGAATCTTGACCACAGTTCTCAGAAGAGACCTGTTATAAAATTTGGGTTTATATTAAAAATAATAGGAAGTCATTGAGACATTTCAAGTAGGGAGGTGACGTGATCTATTTTATATTTTACATGACCAGCCTGTCTGTGGTGTGAGAGTGGATTAGAATGAATGGAGACAAATGAACATAGGAAGCTACTGTTAACACCTAAGCCATAAAGGATGGAGGCCTGAACTAATAGGAAGTGGAGAATGTACATAAGGGACATCTGGTGGCTGATTAAATGTAGGAAGTGAGCCCTGACTGGTTTGGCTCAGTGGATAGAGCGTAGGCCTGCGGACTGGAGGGTCCCAGGTTCGATTCTGGTGAAGGGCATTAAAAAAATAAATAAATGTAGGAAGTGAGGGACAAGGTGACATTGAGAAAAGAGAACCCTAGGTTATTAAAGAGCTAGTTTATTAAAGAGCTCATTTAAGCATAATGAGAAATGTAGCAAAATATTGGTAATAGACAGTAGGGGTGTGGTATTGCCTTTCAGTTCTTCTTCACCAAGGATCTGGGGCTGTTTTTTGTCTTGGTCTGTTCAGAGCATTTTTTATCAGCTGGATTCTCTGTAACCTGCTTGACCTCTGCTGTGGCCCACATCAAAAGAGCTGTCATTTTCAGAGGATAATCTATGTCCTGAAATCTGCTATGGACTGAATTGTGCCACCACCCCAAACTTATCTGATGAAGTTCTAACCACCAATGAGACTATATTTAGAGATGCAGCCCATAAGAAGGTAATAAAGGTTCAAATAGGTCATAAGGGTGGGTCTTAACCTGATAGAACTGGTGTCCTTACAAGAAGAGGAAGAAATATGAGTGCTTGTCCTCTCCAGACACCCACATATATGAGAGGCCACGTGAGCACACAGTGAGAAGGCAGCCATCTATAAGCCAGGAAGAGAATTCTCACCAGAAACCAAACCTGCCAACAGCTTTGTCTTGAACTTCTGGCCTCCAGGACTATAAGGAAATGAGTTTCTGTTTTTTAGACTACCTAGTGGCATTTGTTAAGGCATCTGTGGTATTTTGTAACAGCAGCCCAGCAGACTAACAGTGTTAACAGGTAAGTATTGTCATTTTCATTTATAGATGATGATGAGGCTTGGCGTTTGACTTGACTAAGATCCCACAGGCAGTAGCAGCTCACCCTCTGCACTCCAATGGATCCTTCCTTATATATCAGCCCTTTGTTTCCTCAGAGAATCATCTGGGCTTACCTGGGAAGTACCAAGTCTTCACCAATTCTATTTCTAAGATCCTAGCTGCTAGTCTTCCTTTCAGCCTGCTGTGCAGACCCATAAAATTGTAGCAGGATAGTAAGAAGCTAGGAAAATCCCCGGGGAAGTAGAACAAGGAAACTGAGACAAAATTAAACAAGGCCAAACAGTTTGGGCAACTTATAGCCAGCTTGTGAATCACATGACCTTATCTTCTCCAACCAAGGACACTTGAAAGCAAATGGTTTATACCCTCCTCCATAATCAGAAAATGCATAGCTTAAATCACCCTGGCCTGGGAAACTAGAGAACAAAGACCCAATTAAGGCCATTTGTGCCAGCTAAACCCAAGGACAGAGGACAGAGGGAAACAAATAATAAAAATCCCGTTAAAGCCAGACAAACCTAAGATAAAACAGACCAAAGAAAGATAAAACAGACCAAAGAATAATTTTAAAAATTCCCAATACAGTCATTTGAGGTATCAGCATATTAAAAATGCACCTGGAAAGCTGATGAATATTCTACCAAAACCCTCCCCTAAGAGTCTCATCTGCAAGAAAAGAGAGAGAGAGAGAGAGAGAGAGAGAGAGAGAGAGAGAGAGAAAGAAGAAGAAGAAGAAGAAGAAGAAGAAGAAGAAGAAGAAGAAGAAGAAGAAGAAGAAGGAAGAAGAAGAAGAAGAAGAAAGAAAGAAAGAAAGAAAGAAAGAAAGAAAGAAAGAAAGAAAGAAAGAAAGAAAGAAAGAAAAGGAGGAGGAGGAGGAGGAGGAGAAGACTGTTAGTTCAAAGATTCAATGCTCACTCTAAAGCAGGCCCATGCCCCATCCTAGGATAGCATTGGGCAGTGCAGCTTGACCTGAGATCACCCCCTGATCCTGTTTCTAAGGCCCCCTTTTCTCTCACTTCCCAGTGACTTAAAGCAGCCCAGCCTTGGCTCACTTCTTTCCTAGAAAGCCAAAGCAGAGCACCACCTGGGCTCCCCCTGTTATTTCTTCTACCCTAATTTCTTCCTTTGTTTCTCTGTCCCCAGGGCTGATAAACATACTCAAACCCACCTGGACTTGTATTAAGAAATCTTTCCTACATAAAGTTAAGAACCCACACACTATAGGCTGGCCTGAGGCAGATCTGCTGTGGGCCAGCCCATGTCCTGTAACAGAATGGTGGAACTTCAAGGCCTACTCTGAAAAACTACTCAGACAGTCTTCCCAGTCTCAGAGGTCCTGAGCTCTGCTGCACTATTGTCCTCTCACAATAGCAAGGGGATTGTAAATCATCTATAAACTTCTCTGCAGTATACTGCCTGGCTGTATGTAATTTCACAGGAGACTCCAGCACCTCACCATGTTATGGAATTGCAATGTTGCTAGTTTTTTTTAAAGATACGTTTTGTTGATATTAAAGAGTGAGGAAGGGAGATAGAAACATCAATGTGAGAGAGAGAAATCGATCAGCTGCCTCCTGCATGTGCCCCGACTCTGGATTGAATATGAAACTTGGTTATATGTCCTGACCAGGAATCGAACCCACCACCTTCTGGCATTGGAACATTGCTCCAACCACAGAACCACACTGGACAGGGCACAATGTTGCTAGATTTAAAGAGGAGCTTTTTCTAATTTAATTGTTTATTGTTACCTTTGTGTAAGATACCTAAGCTTGTAATACCCTTGTTTTAAGTATAGTTGTACAAGGTCCCTACTGAAGCAACTTCTTATGTTTTAGTGTGAACCAGATGAAATGACTGTTTTGGAGGTCAAAAAATGATCCAATATCAGCAATTTCATAAATGCAGTTGCCCCTCATCCCTCCCTCCTCTATCCCACTTGGTAACTCATGCCCCCCTCTGATGGCTCCAGGTCCCTAACTGTGAAAAGGGTTAAGTAATTAGTTTAATACTGGAAGGGATAAGGTCTAGAGAGGATAGAAGCATCATGGCCTGAAGAATTAAAACAACCGTAAACCAAGGACAGAGGTATTTCTAGCCTGAGCAGCTAGGAGAGTTATAGGGGTAATAAAACATTTCTGGGGGGGGAAAAAAAAAAGAGGCTATTTTACTTTTTTGAGCAGAGAAGACAGCAGACAGCAGTTTCAGTCTCAAGGCTTGGCAGGATAAGATTGCTAGGTACCATAAGATAAATAAATAATAACTCCAACTTAAACAAATAAGTTGGATATGTGAAGGACAAAAAAAAGCCACAGGATATTGGGGAAAAGGAAACATTTTCACAGAGAATAGAGGAATGTTACAAAATAAAGAAAAAGAAAGAGGGGAGAACCATGTGGGCTTTGACTTTAGCAGAGTGACCAATGGGGAAAGCACGGAGGTCCTAAGTTGGGAAAGGGTCCAATTGAAAAGGGTCATAAAAAAAAAAGCTACAGCTTTTATAAATGCCTTAAGACAAATAAAGCAGTGGCCACCCTCTTTAAGGGACCCCCCACCCCACCCTGTCTCTCCATGCCAGGAGAGACAGTCTTAGAATTAGGGTTTTAGAAATAGCATCTGTTTGCAATAAAATTTCTTCTGCTTGCAATAAAATTTCTGTACTTCTCGCTACCACCTTTTGTCCATGGCTTCATTCTTCGAATTCATCTGGACAAGAACCCAGGAAAGAAATCACCCTTGTAACCCTGCTCAATAAAAACCCCGAATTAGTTGGTGCATTGGCTGGGAACTTAGAAGCTGACCTCTTTACATCAAACAGTAAGCATAGGAAGGACCCACAGATTCTATCCCTTCCTCTGCTATCCCTTTATAATTTTGCAGACATTATTAGGCATCTGCCAGCCACTTAAACCTGGCTGCCATCTTATGCAGGTATTTCTCCTTTCTCCTTTATTCTCCCTCCCATACTCATGCTCCACCTCTAGGGCCAAATTAAAGAGGGCATGGGTCAGTCAAATTAAGAGCCATAAGGGTGACTACCACATAAAAAGTCTCCCATGGGAGGTTAAACTGGTGATAGGTCAGGTTAGAGTATTAGGCTTCCCACCAGTTGCAAGACAAAGCCTGGCCATTGATTAAATGAGTGCTTGGATCCAGCACTGAAAAACAAATGCAGCAAGTCCTCCCTCTTGAATGTCCTTATGTAAGGGCCAAGTGGGGGTGCCTGGGGTCAATCCCTAAGACCAGCAGAGGCCTCATAGGAGTACAACTGTAATTAAACTTTGGCCCACTGGGGAGTGCACATAAGAGTTGGTCACTCACTTGCCCTAGCTGATTTGGCTCAGTGGATAGAGTGTCGACCTGTGGACTAAAGGGTCCCAGGTTCAATTCTGGCCAAGGGCACATGCCCGGGTTGTGGGCTTGATCCCCCCAGTAAGGTATGTGCAGGAGGTAGCCAATCAATGATTCTCTCTCATCATTAATGTTTCTATCTCTCTAACTCTCGCCCTTCCTCTCTGAAATCAATAAAAGTATTTAAAAAAAAAAAAGATTTTGTCACTCAGCACTCTGGGCCCTCACAGTTGTCCTAGACAGCTGGGGAGAGAAACCAAGACACATATGTGAAATCAGCACAGTTGGACCCACAACACAAGTCCACTCTCCAACCCAGATCCCACTCAGCCTTTTCTTCTGCGTTCTATCTCAGTGGTATTAGGTCAGATGGCATCCAGCCAGGAACCCTTTGTTCATAACCAGTTCGGCCCCCAGTATGACCACTGTCTCCTCGGTCCAGACCCAACTAAGCCTAAATTCTCAGTCTCCATTTGTACAAGCCTCTTTGATATAGAGGGAGTCAGAGTCCTATGAAAGCTCCTAGGCGAGGTAAATATTCCCCAAGACATCAGTTGGGGGGCAGCCATCTTCTTCCCACTCCTAGCATGTGATCCTGGCCCTGAATCTTCTTGGCAGACATACCAGGAATTAATTACAGGTCTCTGTCATTTCTGCCACTACCCCTGTGAAGGTTTTAGTCTTTTAAGTATTTACTCTCAGTCCAAGCGGGTTTTTCCCAGGCAGTTTTACTGTGTACAGAATTAGAGGTTTTATTGCACCTGAGGGGCCAATTCCTCAGGTGGAAGAGGATACTTGATTCATTAGGCATGATAAAGGCACAATCCTGCAGGAGGTTAATGATCAATGCCTCCTGATGGGAGCATCCCGGTGGGGGTTAGTTTAAGTTCAGAAGAGCTCTCCAGAGCCCTTGGAATTCTAGGTTGGAACTCAAAGTAATCTGCATGCAGCAGATATTAATATCAGCCTTACAAGAGGGCCTGAGGGTGTTAGAGAAATATTCCTATCATTGGGCACACAGCAGAAAGCAAACTTGGATATGCACCGCTTCCCTCAGGACAGGGAGAGTAGAAAGGATGGCTCGGCATGGGCGCAGGTCCCCAAGTTCAGAGAGTAAGTATGGATAAGTCTGCCAGACCCTCATCTGCGACCCTACATGGTGAGGCAATCTTTTACTCCTTACCAGTGAGAACTCCCAGTACCCTTAGCCAGGAAGGGGGCATCCCCCTCAGGGCAAAGGGAGAGTCACAAAGGATGCTGAATGTCCTTTTGTGTGTTCCCTTATAGATGGGAAGTGTGTTGTCCACACTGCATAAAGACAGACCCTTAGGGTGTATTCTTAAGAATTGGGATGATTTCTACTCACAAACGTTAAAGAAGAGATGTTCTGCACTCAGGCCTGGCCCCAGTATCATCTTTCAGATGGGGAGTGTTGGCCCCCAGAGGGAAGCCTTAAGTATAACACCATCCTGTAGTTAGATCTTTTCTGTAGGAGGGGAGGGAAATGGTCAGAAGTCCCATATGTCCAGGCTTTCTTTGCTCTAAGGGACAAGCCAAATCTATACAAGAACTATAAACTTGATCACTCCCTCCTGGCAATAGTAACCCAAAACCCACCAGAGGTAAAAAAGAAGAATGAAAAGGCTCCAGTCCCACCAGAGCCCTTTTGCCCTCCATCTGAATCCCCATGTGAATTATTTTGTCTTTCTTATCTTGGACTTCCAGAAAAAGTGCCTCCACCGGCATAAAAGCTAACAGCCAAGACTGTTCCTATGCAGAATCACCCAGGAGGCCTCTACACCCTTATAGAACAAGTGGGTGAATTTGGGTGTATCAGAGTACAGGCCCCTTTCAGCCTTAAGGACCTGAGCTAAATAAAGAAAAACCTGGGTAAATTCTCACATAATCCTGATAGTTAAATTGAGGTCTTTCAGAGCCTAAATCAAATATTTGACCTATATTACCAGGACTTATTACTCCTTCTAGAGCAAAGCTTGTCCCAAGAAGAGAAGGAGAAGATTTTGGCAGAGGCTCCAAACTTTGGCAATAATTATTATGTTTCTTGTGTACAAGACATCACAAATCCTGAAGAGAAAGAGAAATACTTGACAGGGTCTCAGGCAGTTTCCCTTGCAGACCCAGAGTGGGATCCTGATGTTAACATGTGGAAAATAAGACACTGTCAGGCTTCTATAATAATAAAAGGTAATATGCTAATTAGACCAGACAGCCAAACGACCTTCCAGACAAAGCCATGGCTGCGAGGGCCGAGCCCCTTGCACGAATTTCATGCATCGGGCCTCTAGTACATAATAAAAGGCATCAGGAGAAGCAAGTCTAAGCCTATTAATTACTTCAGACAAACAACCATCATCCAGGAGATTAATGAAAACCCCAGCACATTTTTAGAAAAACTCAGGGAGGCATTGATTAAGCATACCAATATAACCCCAGATTCATTAGAGAGGCAGTTAATTTTAAAAGATAAATTTAGCCCTCGCCGGTTTGGCTCAGTGGATAGAGCGTCGGCCTGCTGACTGAAAGGTCCCAGGTTCGATCCCAGTCAAGGGCATGTACCTTGGTTGCAGGCACATCCCCAGTAGGAGGTGTGCAGGAGGCAGCTGGTTGATGTTTCTCTCTCATCGATGTTTCTAACTCTCTATCCCACTCCATTCCTCTCTAAAAAATCAATAAAATATATTTTAAAAAATGTTTTTTAAAAAAGATAAATTTATCATTCAATCAGATCCAGACATCAGGAGAAAACTACAAAAATTGGTTATTGGTCCAAGAGCACCTTAGACAATCTCCTGAAAGTCGCCACCTCTGTGTTCTATAATAGAGACCAGGAGGAAGAGGACAGAAAGGACAGGAGAAACCAGACCAGAACTAAAGTCCTTTGTGCCATGCTTCGGGAGAACAAGGGCCCCCAGTCAGAGCCAAGAGGCAGGTGGTCAGTCCCAGGCACCTCTTACAACTATGGCCAGGTTGGACATAGGGCTGGGTTGCCCCAAGGGGCATGGTGAACCCCCTAATTTATGTTCTGTCTGTCAAGGAAACCACTGGAAGTTGGACTGCCCTTGGAGATGAAGATCCCTTGGGGCAGGGCAGCAACCTAGCTGGCCCAACAGGACTAATGGGGCCTGGGGTCTCCCCACCTGGCTCTTCATAGGACTGTCATTTTCACCCAGGAGCCCCGGTAAGCCTGACAGTTGAGGGAAAGAAAATTAATTTCCTCCTCGACATAGGAACCACTTTCTCCACACTTCTCTCTAACCCTAGTCAATTATCTTCAGAGGCAATAACCATTATAGATGTGTCTGAAAGGCCAATAAAGAAATATTTATCGCCCTAACCGGTTTGGCTCAGTGGATAGAGCGTCAGCCTGTGGACTGAAAGGTCCCAGGTTCGATTCCGGTCAAGGGCATGTACCTTGGTTGCGGGCACATCCCCAGTAGGAGGTGTGCAGGAGGCAGCTGGTCAATGTTTCTCTCTCATCGATGTTTCTAACTCTCTATCCCTCTCCCTTCCTCTCTCTGTAAAAATCAATAAAATATATTTAAAAAAAAAGAAAAGAAATATTTATCTCAACCTTTAGGGTATAACTGGGTTGAGCTGTTCTCCCATGCCTTCCTAATAATGTCAGAAAACAAATTCTGGTGCACACAGAGTGATTTACAGTACTAGATCTCAAGAATGCCTTTTTCTGTGTACCCCTGCATCCTGATCCACAATTTCTATTTGCCTTTGAAAATCCCAATAATCAGGACAGTCAACTAACATGGACAGTGCTGCCC